GGTTAGAGAGAACCAATCAGGTTGGTTTGGCTCATAAATTAACTCTTAAAATGGAATTACGAGTGTGACCTGCCTTTTGTAATCAATGTGTTCAAACATATTTTGTTCTTATTAGTTAATTTTGAGTTGGAACTCTCCAATCTCATGCTATACTATTTCTTGCTCCCTTCCTTTTGGAGAAGAAAGTGCAAAGCCTTTAAAAATAGTGGAAGAGTTTGACTTTCTAAGCAGCAGCATGGATTTCACTGCACGTACGGTAGATTTTGATATTCTATCTTTATTTAGAGGTGATGATGCAAGGTTTGTCTTTAAAATGTGACTCCAACATCGGTTTAGCTCAACTATTGTGAAACCACTCACTCCGACAAATGGAAGAGAACTAATCTAGTTTCAGGTTCTTGATTTAGAGCTAGAACCTTTTAATTTTTTTCATTTATAGATAGACTAATAAAACTGACACAAAGGGAATCGGCACCCTCATCAAAGCTCGGCACAAATAGAAGATTTTAAATGATCATAATGCACTTCCACCTCAAGGTCGTGCCAATCTCTTGTTATCATCTGCTTGTTATAAGAAGACAGCTTAAGGAGAAGTTATTTCAGTGTAGGCCATTTTTCTTCATTAAATAGCAGCAACTTTAAAGAAGAAATAAGCAGCAGCTAGTTGATCCTACTAGCTTGATGCTAACAAGCACTGCTGTTTTAAGCCCCCTAAATTGCTTCCAGGGTTAAGTCTAGTGAGATTAAACAGTCCAATCTGCTTCTTTCTTATCTGCCGTCTGCACTAGCTTCACCAGCCCTCACCCTCTAAAATCTTGACCAAGTTCAACAATTCAAAAGTTCTGTTATTGGATTCCAGTTTTCAATAGAGTGTAATTTCTGTATGGGGGTGGGAATGGATATTACTGCTGAAGAGCTTCCTGTTCGCACCAAAAGTCCTTGCAACACCTAATTCCTGTTCGCACCAAAAGTCCATTCCCGATGACTAGAGGAAGAAAAACCTTTATTTTTTGCCTCTTAGTATTTTGCCTCTGAGGTTTACACCCTTAGAATGTTGTGCCACGATACCTCGTCTCCTGTCCTTCGGCTGATAGTGCTTTAGTTGAACATCTTCGTTATCTGCACTTTTTTTCATGCTATCCTCCTGCCTCTAATCCTCTTCTCATTTAAAAAACAGAATATTTCTGCAACTCTCTCGCTCTTGTGAGGCTGTAGCAAGAATTATTACATCAACAGCATAAGTTGTAGAAGCACGACTAGAATATAACATTTTAGTTTTGCCTCCTGTGAATTGATTTTCCTCTGTACATAACTAGGGTGCTTCTAGATTACAACATTTTAGTTTTGCCTCCTTTGAATTGATTTTTCCTCTGTACATAACTCGCTTTTGTCTATACTTCTGTACTAGCAGTGGGAAAAGATACTAGAGCTTACTAGCCTCAAGAAAAACAAGGCTCATCCACCTAATACGTTCCATGTGTCACAGGGTCATTCCCTTTCGATTTCTCCATACCGTACTTGGTCGTAGAATACTTCTGTTTCCATTGATCAGTATAATCAATTGATTTTTTCATGTACAGTTTACATTGTTTGTGAGACCTGAAAGTGCTTTCTTTTGTAGATCGTGGCCATCAAGCAACTTGACCAAAATGGATTGCAAGGAAACAGGGAATTCCTTGTTGAGGTCCTGATGTTAAGCCTACTTCACCATCCACACCTTGTCAACTTGATTGGATATTGTGCTGATGGAGATCAGAGACTTCTAGTTTATGAGTACATGCCGTTAGGATCACTGGAAGACCATCTACATGGTATGTATGAGAAAATACAAATTAATTAATGGTTGTGTATCTGGATCTCCAAAAAAAAAATGCATTCTTAAGATGCAAATGGCAATTGTGTGACTTCCACCTTAGGTCATTATTCACCCAAAGAAGGTGATAATGGCATTTTCATCTGGAATTCATTTGACGACAGTTCTAGTTAGTTTGTTAAGTCCTTAGTGATCCAAGGGATTGACATCAAATCTTGCGGAACCAAAAGCAGATATTATTACATAGTTTCCTTTTTATCCAAATTGATATCTGCCAGGACTTGAAGCTAGTTGTTTGTGTTCCCAAGTATTTCCAGATGCTTGTTAAGGTAAAGAAACTTGAAGCAAATGGAAAATATGATTTGCGATTTCAATTGTGGCATACAGTATCTTAGTTAGTAGACTTTTCTCGTTAATCTTCTGAAGTTTTTGTCTTTCCCTTAATTAAGCCTGTTTAATTAAAGAATGATGTGTCATTATATCTGAGGTATCTTTTCTTTGGCATTTAATATGTCATGTATTTGCTTAAATGATCCAGAGCTTTCACCCGAAAAAAGACGACTAGACTGGAATACAAGAATGAAAATTGCTGCCGGTGCTGCCAAGGGGCTAGAGTACTTGCATGATAAAGCGAATCCACCTGTTATATACAGGGATTTGAAATGCTCCAATATTTTGCTTGATGAAGATTATAACCCCAAGCTATCTGATTTTGGGTTGGCTAAGTTGGGTCCTGTAGGCGACAAAACCCATGTTTCCACAAGAGTCATGGGAACCTATGGTTATTGTGCACCAGAATATGCAATGACGGGGCAGCTTACACTTAAATCTGATGTTTACAGTTTTGGAGTTGTTCTTCTGGAAATTATTACTGGTAGAAGGGCAATTGACACGTCAAGAGCTGCTGGGGAGCAGAATCTGGTTGCATGGGTAAGATAAAATATTTTTGCTATTAAAGTTAAGCTGCGGAATTTGTGTCTTTTCATAAATCTTCAACTAGTTGATATATCTTATCAAGTTGAACTACCTTATCTGTTGTGATTTTCAGTATGTCCTAAGGTTTCTGAAATATCTTTTTTGCCTGCTTTCGAGAATCAATCACTCAAATGCTTCACCTGGACTTGAATATACCGTGTTTCCTTTTGGTTTCTGGGCATTTCTTGCTGTTCTCCATTATTTTGAACCTCTAGGCCTTTAAGTCATTACAGCATGTTTCCATATCTTTTTAGTTTATTTTATGATAAGGTAAATAATTATTTATTTAATGTTGGGAACAACTCCTGCATACTAGTAATACAAAGTATTAGAAAGATATGATTCCCTAGGAAACACACCAATGTTCTTACAAGTTGGAACCTAATCGCTGTAATTTTGTTCAATCTCAGTGTCACTTAGTATCAAGTCATCTACATTTCTATAATCAATTAGTTGTAAAGGTGGCCTATCCAGTTAGTTGCTTCTCGAAATCCCATGCATACCAACCTAAAGTACATTTAGTTTCATCCAGTTCTTGCTTCTCTTCGAGATTGTTAGAAAGCTTTTAGAAGAGATTGCTAGAAGTGTCATTGCATTTCTAATTATTTAGCTCATTCTTCTTTAAATCATGTCATATATTATGCTGCTCAATTGCGTGGAAGAGTTTCGTTTCAGATGCGTTGTTAAGAGCCTTCTTGCTCAGAATTCTTAGTTGGTCAAGGGCTACTTATGGGTAAGATATTTATACTTGGAGCTACATTTCAATATTTGCAGGCTCGACCATTGTTCAAAGACCGTAGAAAGTTCTCACAAATGGCTGATCCAATGCTTCAAGGTCAGTATCCGGTTAGAGGCTTGTATCAAGCTCTTGCAGTAGCCGCAATGTGTGTCCAGGAGCAGCCCAACATGCGCCCTCTCATAGCCGACGTAGTTACAGCCCTAAACTATCTTGCTTCCCAGAATTATGACCCTGGAACTCAACCAGTCCAAAGGCCTCGCTCAGGCGCGTCGACTCCGAGACCAAGAAGGGATTTGTGATTGTTGCAGTGGATGATAAACATCAAATATTGGAATTAGACAAGTATATGATTTTAGCCCTTCTCAGGAAAGTGCCGGATTAGGATAGATGCAATTTCCATGATGTGGAGTTGGCTATTTGCAGCAGATGGTTGCATTCCACTGCCAGTATATAAATCTTTCTTCCTGCCTTACAGAAGAGAAGCAAGATGAAAAGTGAATAGGTTGAATGCCCAGAAAAGAAAATTCAGCTCCCACTTCTTGACTTTGCTTTTAGTTCTCTTAGGAATTCTTTTAGGTTCTTTTTTCCTTTCTTTTCTTTGCTTTGCTCTTCTTTTTCTTTTCTTACTTTTATAATTATGTAAATTAGAGAGCCATTTGGCAGTTGGACAGTAATGATGAAAGCTTGTATCTAGCGTCCCGTCCTCTCAGATGATAATTTTTTAAAACAGGAAAAACACTATTTTTTTTTGTTTATTCAAGTGGTTCACGCCTGCGTTTTTCGTTTTCTTTGTTGATTTATGCTGCTTCTCTAATCTCTAATGTGTTTGGGTAATTTAGGTGAATGTGTGTGATGAAGAGGGATTATTGATGAGGTTTAACGTAATAATTCTCCATTCAGAATAAATAATATATCACTTTTCTTTTGTGATTATTTGGTATGATGAATTTTTTATGTAATATGGTAGAATTTGTATTCTAAAATCAGTAAACTAGAATAAACAATAAACTGAAAAAACAGAAACAAGAAATTATTTGAAACCCACATACTTCACTATGTATCCTTTGAGGAATTTAATTCCCTCGTTGTTGCCCAAAGTTATGGATTCTTTTATTATAGTGTTGGATTTTGTATCTGTTATTGCTACTGTTTTCTAGAATAATTAGTTATTTAGTTTTAGGAGGAGTCTGCTAGAAGATTCAAAATTTTAGTTATAGTAAGAGTTTAGTAATTTAGTTGTAGGAGGAGTCTACTACTTTATTTATTAGGCTATTTAAAGCCTTATGATTAATAAAATTTTAGAGACAGTTTTTCAATCCTATTTTCAATCTTCTTGCTGCTTGCATATTTTCCTAAAATCCATAACAGTGGTATCAGATCCTCCATTGATCTTGACGGATATCTGAATTCCCTGAAAAACAACCAATTTCAACCACTTTTAAACCATACCAATTTTTAACCAAATTTTTAACAATGGCAAGCAGCGGTCTCTCTTTGAATACCCCACAAACTTTCACTGGTGAAAACTATCACATTTGGTCAGTGAAGATGAAATCTTGTCTTGAAGCTTATGATCTATGGGAAGTTGTAATGGAAGACAGACTTATACAACCACTTCCTGCAAATCCTACCCTTGCCCAAATCAAAGCTCATTCAGATGAGAAAACCAATAAATACAAAGCCAAAACTATAATTCAAAATTCAGTTGCAGATTCAATCTTCTCTAAAATCATTGCATGTGAGACAGCAAAAGAAGCTTGGGAAACACTCAAACAGGAGTATCAAGGAAGTGAACGAGACAAACAAAATCAGATTTTAAATTTGAAAAGAGATTTTGAATCTTTTAGAATGCAAGATGATGAGACCATCGCTAAGTATTCTGACCGAATTTCTTTAATTGTCAATAAAATCAGGTTGCTTGGCGAGGATTTCAAAGATGACAGGATAGTTGAAAAAATTCTTGTGACAATTCCCGAGAGATTTGAATCCAAAATTTCCTCTCTGGAAGAGTCTAAAGATCTCTCTACCATCTTTGTTGCAGAATTAATAAGTGCTCTTCAAGCACAAGAGCGAAGAAGGGCCTTCAGACAAGACAAAGTTACTGAGGGTATTTTTTATGCGAAACACTAAAAAGAAAAAGTATCCTTATTGCAAATATTGCAAAAAGAAAACACACTTAGAAAAATTTTGTTGGTGGAGACCTAATGCATTATGTGGAAATTGCAAACAAAAAGGTCATGTTACGAAAGTGTGCAAGTTCAAAGATGCTCATGCACAAGCACTAATAGTAGAAGAACGAATTGAGGATGACCTTCTTTAGACTGCAGCAACAGAAGCAAGGAGGAGTGTTGGATTTTGCATCTGTTACTGCTACTGTTTTCTAGAATAATTAGTTGTTTAGTTTTAGGAGGAGTCTGCTAGAAGATTCAGAATTTTAATTATAGTAAGAGTTTAGTAATTTAGTTGTAGGAGGAGTATACTACTTTATTTATTTGGCTATTTAAAGCCCTATGATTAATAAAATTTTAGAGACAGTTTTTCAATCCTATTTTCAATCTTCTTGCTGCTTGCATAAATTCCTAAAATCCATAACAGATAGGAATGAATATATATATATATATATATATATATATATATATATATATATATATATATATATATATATATATATATATATAT